ACTCCAATTGATTTGGCTATTTTTGTTCTTAAAATATTTATATGATTTTTCCATGTCAGTTTTTCATCAGTAAGGACACCTAAAAACTTCCCTTCACTGACTCTACAGATCTCAACATCATCAATTTTAAATAAAACTTCTATAGTTCTCTTATTGTTACAGAAAATCATATAGTTTGTCTTATCCAAGTTTAATGATAATTTATTAAGTTGAAACCAACATTGTATTTTCATGAATTCTGTCTGTATCATGTCCAACATTTGTTCAATATCATTACCGGAACAAAAGAATGTTGCATCATCAGCAAATAGAACACTCCCAAAAAGATCTGATACATTTACCAAATCGTTCACATACAAAATAAATAACTTATGTCTGAGAATGGAACCCTGAGGCACTCCACATGAGATGTTACAAAACTCAGATCTTACATTATTTATTTCTACAAATTGTTTTCTATTTTCCAAATAACTAGATACCCACTGTAATGCAAGTCCTCAAATACCATATTTAACTTTTCAAAAAGAATACTATGGTTAATAGTATCAAGCGCTTTTTTTAAATCAACAAAAATATTAATTGTATGTGTTTTATTGTGCAGGTTTGTTCTGAACTGATCCATCCATTCAGCTCTGACTTGATTCCATCAGACTCAGAAATGTGTGTGACTCTAACCAAGAACCAGGTAAACTGTTTCAGAGCAATCCACAGCAGTGTGTAAACTCATAAACAAGTTAATCTGTGACACATTTCTCTCAGAAGCGTGTAAAGATGTTTATGTGGGATAAATCCTGTGCCAGGCAGAATGTCATATACTGTAGAATAAAGCATGACATGTATGTTTTAAATAAATGTTCCTTGTGTTATTCTTCAGACCCACAGAGATGTACGAGGGAGGTTACGACTTGGGAACAAAGAGAAACTGAATATTTTTGGGCAACTTCAGCTGAACACTTTGCGATCAAACCAACAAGCTATAAAAGTTAGAGCCAACTTCATCCACCAGCTGCAGGTCAGTCTCCTTATAGCACAAACATTTACATTTATATTTACTTTAGATCCTTGTTCTAATTCACAGGGATCAGAGTCATCGTATTTAATATGAATAATACACATTAGAAAATGAATGAAAAGGTTTTAGGGTTACCACTTTACTAACACCTGTCCATGTTAASAAGTAGAAATACTTACTGTATGTGTGATGGAATACAAGAATACACAGAAAACACATGAAACAATTGGATGTGTTAAGATGCACCAAACATGACATCAACCTGTCTTAGTAGAAAATGGAGAAGCTGGAGGAAAACAATTTATTGAAAAGAATGGTAAATGGCTTGAACTTTTCTAGAGTTTTATCAAGTCCATATGGATCCTAAAGCACTTTCACACACATTCACACACTGATGATGGTAAGCTACACTGTAGCCACAGCTGCCCTGGGGCACACTGACTGAGGTGGGGCTGCCATGCACCGGTGCCACCGGACCCTCTGACCAACCATCAGTAGGCAGGGTGGGTGAAGTGTCTTGATCAATGACACGACTGAGACATACGGAGCAGAGGATCAAACTGAAAACCCACCGGCCCGCGGGCCGGATTATTTATTATTATTTTTACACTTGAAGACTGAAGAAAAAAAAACATTCATGCACAAGAACAATACTGATTATAGTTTATACAGAATTTAATAAAAACTAGTGCAGCTGAACTAGTCAGACATTTTTTCCTAATTCTTATTATATAGTCCTAAAGTTGTTTAAAGATAACCCTGATTTGAGAGAAAGATTATAGAAAGAAGTTGGATTGTTTAGGTAGAAAACAGGCTAGCATAAGCTAACATATTTTACTTTTTGCAGTAGTAGTACTGATTACATATTTGCATAAAATTTATTAGTGTTGTGAGTATGAAAAACCAAAAAAAATTCTGTTATGTTTGGTCACATTTTCAAAGAGCCACTGCAGAGGGACCAAAGAGCCACATGTGGCCCCAGAGCCCAGAGGGTCGAAGGGTGTAGTGCAAGTATTGGGACTGGGCCTTCAGCTGTTTATTTGCTAACAATGGATTATATGTAACAGCAATGTAATGACAGCTATAATACACATCATGCTGATTTACACAAAGCATTATAACTGCAGTCAGCAGTGTTTGAAGGTGAAAAACTGAACATTTTGTTGTTGTTGTTGCTGTTCCAGCTGCAGCTTCCCTCCTCAGCTGTAATGGAGGGGGATATGAGCTGGAACCAAAAAAACAACACTGGATTTGATTGTCAGGCCAGAGGGAAACTGAGAGTGGAGCAAAAGGAATGTCAAGTGAGTAAAAGAAAAACATGTTTATTGTTTGTTTACTGAGAAACAACACATTTTTATTTTCCAGCTTTCAGTAAAGCTGAACAGAACATCAGACAGAGTCACCCTGCTTTCATCTATCAGACATCCCTTCAAATCAAAAATTCCCAAAACATTAGAAGTGAGTTGCTTTTGTGATGCAGCTAATGGTTTTATAACACGATGCAATCAATCACTGAAGCATTTTTATGTGATTCAACTATTCACCTCATGGAGGTAAGAGCCACTGCAGAGACAATGGTGTCTGGGAAAAAGAGCAGCACGGTGTTCATAAAGACTGATGGAAGAGACAGAGTGATGCTGGATGCCCAGATGTCCCATTCCATCTGGAGAGGAGACAGAGCGCTGGGACTGAGACTGAATCTGTCCCAGAACCTGCTGCCAGCAGTCCCTGTCCTGCATTTAAACATGGCTGCCAACATGTCCTCAGACAGGTCTGTCCTCTGTTATTTAGTTGTTCTAATAATACTCCGAGGCCTGTAACAACATCATTAACTATATGTGGTCTGTTTTTAGATTTTCATTTTAATTCTGCCTCTTTTCTGTCACTTCCAGAATGTTTTTGAATAGCTCCTTCACACAGGGACARGAAACTTTACTGGCTCTGGTTAAGGGGTCTTTTAAAAACTCCCAGTTGGTGTTATCAGGGGATTTGAGGCATTCCATGTCCAACTTTAAAATTTTACCCTCGCTTCTGGATCTGGATGGATTATTTAGGCAGTCTGACAACTTGATTGAAGGTAAAGTCTTAATTGCAAATCTTGATTTACAACAAAAAATGGATGTGTGAAAATAAAATAAAAGTTTACTGGTCCTTCCTTAAATCCAAGATAAATTCACCACGGAACWAAGTGAACATATCAAATGTTTAAAGTAAAAATCTGTTTCAATTTTAAGAAAAATTCAACATTTGGATTTAATGGCAGCAACATATTTTCAAAAATCGGTCGAGGCAGATGACCATCTGTCCTGAGCCTGGTTCTGCTGGAGGTTTCTTCCTGATTAGCAGGGAGTTTTTCCTCTCCACTGTTTGTTCAGGATGGGAGACTGTGATGAAGTGATTCAACACAATCTGTAGGTTTCTTCTTTAGATTATTATTTTTATGTACAGTGTCCTGAGACAACATATGTTGTGACTTGGCGCTATATAAATAAACTGAACTTGAACTTGAAAAAGTTTGGATTGAAGCTAAAAAAGGCTGTAAAATTTATGTTGTACAAATAAGCATTTTGCAGCAATTTAAGTTAATTGTTGTGAAGGTTGTGGCAAGATTGGACCCAGTGATGCAGGAACAGCATGAGGAATCAAACAAAAGATCTTTATTAAAGAAAGTACCAACGTTTCGATGACTACATGAATAACAAAAACCACGTGAGACGCAGGGAGAAACCAGGAAAACAACCAAATAAGGAAGTGGTGAAGAAGGACTGGTTAAATAGAGCAAAGGTTGAGTGGAAAATGGAAGCAGCTGGAGTACAGACAGGTGTGAGGAGATCAGGGCCCGTATTTATCAAACTTCTTAGAATTACTCTTAAAAATGCTGCTAAGAGTGGACTTAAGTGTAAATTCTTAGTTAAAAGCTGAGAGTAAAAAACAGTAATCAAGCGTCTCAGTCTAACTTTAAGTCAAGTGTAGGAGTAATTCTTAAAGGATCCACGATTAGCTGTAACATTATTATTTTATTATTTTATTTACTGTTATTTAACCAGGCAAGTCCCATTGAGATCTCAGATCGCTTTTTCAAGGGAGGCCTGGGCCTGAAGGCAACCTGTTTAGAATTATTTGATAAAATTTATTTTAACTGTAAAATATAGTCTGTAAAATACTGTAGGCTGTTTAGTTTTGTAAATTAAAAAATTTAATTTTAACATGGGCCGAGCCATTTTATTTACACGCAAAGCATTCTGGGTAAATGATGACGTGGATAGGTCCTCGGTGCGAGGC